AGAGCAGGTGCAGGCGCAGCGCGGGGCAGGCAGAGCCGGCGGGCGCGGGGAGGATGCTCGTCGCAGCCCGGCCGTGCCCGGGACCCCCTGCAGGCCGCCTCGCTGAGACGCGGCGCCTGCCCCTTGGAAGCCTTTCCGCCGCCGCCCTGAAGGACAAGCGCAGGGTAGAGCCGGACCTCGCGTCCTCCAGGAGAAGCAGAGCTTGGCCTTGCCGCCTGCTCCTCGGAGGGGCTGCGTGCGGCGGTGCGGCCCCGCGAGCGCCGGGCTCAGCCCGGGCTGGTGGGCGTAGGACAGAGGCAGGCAGGGTCTTCGGGCAGATGTGTGTGTAGATGTGATCGCTTTTATTAGCCCGATCGATCCGGCGCTTCTTCTGGTGCCCGCGCTCATCCGTGGGAGTTGAGGCGTGAACTACGGCAGGAGACAGGAGTGGGAGTTTTGTGCGAGGCTGCCTGCCCGGTACCTCCGCCGAGAGCAAGGCCACAGCGTCTGTGCACAGGACCCGCTTTTACTGCCTAATGCACGGCTTTGTGTAGGGAAGGCGGGCACTGTATGCACATCACACACGTGCCTGGAGATATTTAAGTTGGTTTAATAAAAGATGTCAGATTCACACAAAGAACCTTGTCTGGAGATATTTATGCATATATGTGTAGACACACACCCAGGCACATTTGTGGCTAGATGTAGATACATGCAGAGATATACATCTATTTCTGTATACATGTTCGCACATACCTGCATACCAAAGTGTCTGTAGGTGTGTCCATATGTATGTACAGTCTGTGTACACAAACACATCGAGGTACACATGTGCCTGTGCTTCACACATACTATATATATGTATTTGTGTGTGTGTGTGTGTGTACACACACACACACACACTTATGCCTATGCTTCACACATGCAATAGGAGTGTGCATAGATGTGCATCTGTGCTTCTTCATGCATGCATTATATGTGTATGTGTATATATACATATACACACATATATATACATGCACTATATATATGAGTGTGTGTGTGTGTGTATGTATACACACACACACCCCTATATACATGTGTCTATGCTTCTTTGTGTGTATATGCTTGTCCACAGCTCCAATACACACACACATATGCACGTGTGTGGCAGGGTATAGTTTTGGATCAGGAGGTCCTGGGGATATGTTTATCTGTTGGTAGGTAGAGATCATGGGGAAATGCATGTATGAATATCTATACATACATATATATATATATATTGCATATGTGTAGAAGCACAGATACACTTGTGCAGAGATATGCATGCACACACCAGTCCGCACACCCCTACAGATATACGGGCACACTGGTATATGTGAACACGTATGCAGATGCACAGACCTGCACATATACACATCCAGTCTGCACAGGCCCACACTCCCAGGCTAGCCCCTCCCTGTCTGCCAGTGCAGAGGCAGGTCCGGCCACTCCATGAGAGCAGCCTGAAACCCGCTGGAAGAAAAGAAAATGCAGCTGGGGAATGGGCTTTGCCTCCCACCCATCAGCCCCCGTCTATTGCTGGCTGAGATGGTGCAGGCAGGGGGGATCCTGCCTTGGTGGAGGTGGGGAATGGGCTAGATGAGGCCCTGAGGTGATGGGGATGGGGACCTCACTGGTCCCACTTGTGTGCAGCTGGCCTGGCCTTGGGCTACCATCAGGAGACAGCTCGGAGGGGCAATGGGCTTATCATGGAGAGGCAACCCCTGCTGCTCAGGACCACACCTCCCTCCTGCTCTCCAAGGCTGGCTCCTGGGAGCTCCCTGAGCACTGCATCCAGTGAGAGAGGCAGCCCTTCCTCCCTTCCTGGGCTGGGCTGGAGAGAAAAGTGAACCCAGTCCTTCCCACTCTGTCCCCCAGCCAGCCAGCCAGTGTCTGATTTCTAGAAGCTCTCCTCCTGCCATCTGCTCTGTGCCTTGCTTTGGGCATTGCCCATGCTCCCTGGCACACACCTGGCTGGAAGTATCATACATAGACTCCTGGCAGCACTAAGCCAACTTTCAGTATCAGGCCCCCCTTCACCAGAGATAATGATGATAATAATTGGACAACAGGAAAAAAAACAAACATTTTTGCCCCCTTTCTGTCCAGGGCCCGGGCAGCCGTCCGGTTCACCCATGCCTGTGTCTGGCTCTGCTGGCTGGCCATACGTAACACCCCTTTAAGGGTGGAATTGCCTGCCTCTGGCCTGGCTTCCCCAGCACCTGGCTCTGAGGTACTGTCTGGCCTCAAACACCTCCTACCGGGCCTGTTGGTAGCTGGAGGCATCAGTGCTGCATGCACCAGCCAGAGCAGGAGGTACTGGAGCCTGGAGGCTGCCAGCCCTAGTAGTCCCACAAGCTGGAACCTCCCTGGTGGTCAGCTTCATGTACATAGCCCAGGTACACACACAATCAAGGCAGTCATTTTCTCCTCCCATGAAAAGAGGTAGGACTCAGTTGCTCATCTACCTGCTGGAAGTACAGAGGGGTGCAGACAGGAGTAGCAGTGTTTCACAGAGCAAGAAGGAAAAACTCCCTGCTCTCTTACGTTGGTATGCACAGGTCTGTTGGTGGTGGCTGGGATAGGGCTTGGGGGTCTGAAGCAGATTGTAAGATACACTGGTACTGCCCATGGATTAGTGCTGCCTCAGGGCCGGATCTTCCTCTGATTTAAAGCAGCATAGTGCCACAGCCTTCACAGGATGGAGCCTTGCTGGTTTTCACCCACCAAAACTCGACCTGGGGCTTGGAGGAGTAATTGACCTGCCCACTCCTTTGGGGGTCCACAGGCACATTGTGAGTATGGGAAGGGGTAGTCAAAGAGTCTGGCCTGATGCCCAGCAAATATTTATGGCTCCAGGATGCCTCCATACCATGGGTGGTTTGTTATAACACTTTACTATTTTTTTCTCCCCTACCCTAAACAGTGTTTGTTATCTCTGGTGAAAACCAGTCTCACAAAGCATCTGTGCATGCATGCATACACACACAAAGCCTATTTTCATTTCAGTTCTAAGGTTTAGTAAACTTTATGCTCTTAAGAGAAGAAAGGTACAAAGGAGCAGGGCTGAGATCTAAAATTTCCCACTAATGTTAAAGAAGCCAGTGCCCCAGTAAAGCTAGGCTTTGCTTCCTGCAATGATCAGTTTTAGGAGCAGCAAAAAAAAAAAATCTCTGGGTTTGCTCCATGGCATCCAGCTCTGCCTGCAAGGATTCTCATTAAGGCAAATGGAGTTGCTTTCATACACATTTATGCTGCTGTCAGTTGTAAGGCTCGCACTAATTTCTGCGGGAACCAGATTGGGTCTCCCGTAACTGCTAGAATAAATAAAAGCTACATAGTTTAGCCCCACTGAAGCCCATAAAAGAACCAAGCCCCATGTCCCTCCCTTGTCATGATCAGGCTGGATATCATCTCAGAGAAGTCTTGTGCTCAGCATGGTTTCTGGTGTTACACAAAGGCAGCTGACCACAGGGTGTCTGAAAAGAGATTGAAACAATCCTAATCTATTCAAAACAAACAAGCAAAAATTCCCTTTTCCTTCTTTGCCCCAGCCCCTTAGCTAGATGCTGATTAAAAAAAAAAAAAAAAACAGAAAATGCTAGTGGCTCTTTTTCTTCAACCTTTCAAATTACGTTTGCCACCCAGTGATTTGCTGCCTATAATTTCCCTTGCTTACTCTTCCTACCCCCTCCTGCAGGCTTTTCCAGCCCTTAATTACACTCATCAGTTTCAGCAAATGGGCTTTGTTTTCCACTGTGATCCCCTTGCGCTTGGCAGGATACACAAGGAAGCACCTGTTGTCTGGTTATAGAGAGAAACACCTGTCAATGGAAACACTAAGTAGTGACATGGGAGCTGTCAATAAGCAAAGCCTGGGAGACTTTCCTATTGACAGCAGACACCTGTTTGGGGCTATTGGTGACTGAATGACAGCTTATTGACTCCTGACAGAAGTTGTCAATACAAGATTCCCTCCCTACCAAAGCCTGAGAGCTGAGACATGCAACATCTGGCAAGAAGGGCAAGCATCTCACCAGATTGGACATATCCTCTCAAACAGAACACAGTCCTCTAGCCTGGTAATATGCTTCCTGGCTCATGACCAGCGTTTGTTAAATATGGGAAGAGCTGGTGGTTTTAGAAAGAATTTAGTTTAAACTGTCAGAAGCTGTGTGGTGACAGATAGTTATTATTACTTTAGAGTTTTCCAGAATACTAATGTATGGTTAGTAGAAGACCATAGTTGCCAATCAGCACAGAGTCTTGTATGTGCACCACCTAGCACCATGGGGACTGCTCTTGGTCAGTGCCTAGGCATTATACAGCAGCAGCATAACCAATAAAATAACTAGTAATGACAGAGCCTCTGTCTAACTGCTTAGTTGTCTTTCTAGCTATCTGCTTACTTCTTTCTCACTTGTCTCTGTCACCTACCCAGCATTCTGTTCATCCATGTCTCTGCTCTGTCTGTCTCTCTGTCTGTACATGCATGGTTCTGAAAAAAAATAGCAATAATAAACTTAAAGAGCAGCCTTATTGCCCTGGTTATTTAAAGCCTTTTTAGAGAGTTCAGAAAGCATACCAAATAGCTCTGACCAGCTGATTGCAAACTGGGCCTCCTGCTTGCTGAAGAGCACCCTTCAGACCTTGGGCCCCTTTGAAGGTCAGGTGCACAGAGCTCTGTCTTTAAAAGATGCAAGAGAATGGATCAAGTTCCACAGCCTTCCTAGCGCACCTTCCCCCCCCTTGCTGCAGCTGCTGATGCTTTAAGGAAGGGGAACTGCAAATCCCTGTGTAAATTCCCTCCCTGAACAGCCTGCCTTTGCCCTTCACATCCCTGATCCGGGTCTTGCTCTGCCTAGGACATAACACATCTCCAGTG